GACAGGGAACAGGCCAGTGAGGGGTCATCCAAGTGCAGGAGCCGACCCTGTCTTTATATGAAATTTTGGTATTTTGCTCATCATGGATTTTTTTGTATTAATTTTGATTTTTTTTTTTTTCAAATCAGTACTTTTGGTTACTGAGTTCTTTGGTGCCCTCTTAAACTTCACACCCCGGTTTCAGCCCCAGAAGCAGGGTCTGTGTAGATGTGATCAGGGTCACGACAGGAGGGCTAAGATGCCTGGCTAAGTCTTCAGACTTTACTCTGTGGTCTTTGGAAAGGGCACTGGAGGGTCAGAAGCAAATAGATGATGTGACCAAAAATACCACCTGGGGGCTATTGGTCTGCAAGCCAGCTGGAGAAAGAGTGGAAATGCCCAGAGCACCAGAACCAGTCGGGGAAACATATTGTGAATTAGGAACAGTAGGCAGTGAAAAGGAAGCCTGGTGGCCCCATGCCCTTTGTGTGTCTTTGCCTGCCCCTAAACCACCCCCAGAAGTCAAGCAACTGAGCAGACACAATGAATGCCAGGCTCTTGCCTCTTTCTGTGTTTAATATGGTCGATTTGTGCAAAACAGGAAGTTCTGCTGTGACAATGGCATTGTTTGTGGCTGAGAAATGTACTTTCGAAAACTCTAAAAACCATCGGTCCCTTGCGCTGTAGGTCAGCCGTGCTTATGGAACCTCCTGTCGGGTGGGCCCCTTTCCAACAGGGGCCACGATTTCCCCCTGCTCTGCCAGGAATCAACTCAAGAGCTGCTCTGTTCCTAAGACGGGGGACGGGACCGCTTAAGCCTTTTAGGAACTCCCAGCCGCGTGGGGCCCTGGCACCGCAAAGGAGAGGGGCTGGCTGTGGGCCAGCCGGGCCCTGTGAAGGCAGGGAGATTTACAGGGAGGTCACAGGAAACCCTCCCCCGCCTCAGGCTTTGGTCCTACATACACCGTTCAATCCAAGATAGTGAGATAGCAGCAGCAGGCTGGGGAAACTCAGAGGTAAGGTAATTCCTGGAAACAGAGGTAGACAGGAATGTGCCGTGGGCCCCAAGCTGGAGTCGGGACGCCAGTCCCTTCAGCAGGAACTTCTGGCCCCTGTTCAGTGGAATTGGAATTCCTGGCTCTGATTCACCCTGGTGGACTGCCTGGGACTTCTCTGGTCATTGTCTAAAATGACTTTCTTTTACTAGGCCAGGATGACGTTCTTTTGCAGAGTAGTCTTTTGGAATCAGGGTCCAGTTGGAAACCCGACTCTGTGGCTTCCTGGCTGTGTAACCTTGTGCAGGTTGTTTGACCTCTCTGAGCCTCAGTTCCTTCATGGAGTTTACAGGACAAAACCCAGCAATAGTCAAATCCCTGCTCTGCCACGTGATGTCCATAGGACCGTGGGCCAGACGCTTAGCCCTTTGGAGCTTCGGTGTTCTCATCGTTGACAGGGGCATAACTATAGTGTCCACTCCAGAGCATAGTTGTCAGGATCAAAAGAGACAAACCCCTAAACAAGATAGAACGTGGCAAATAGTAAGAACTCAATAGACGCTTACTGTAATTACTGCTATGGTTGGAAATGGTAGCTATTAGAACATAACTTTGGAATAAAGTGCAATAAACATGGGAGCAAGTTGAATTTCAGGACCCCAATGAAATCCTTCAGAACTCTCCTCTGGCTCCGGTCGACTGACTCAGTCAAGAACTGATGGAGCACCTACTATGTTCCAGTCACTTTGTTAGGAACAGGGGACCTGGCAGCCAGCCAAACAGGCACACTTCCCACTCTCATGTAGCCTAATGTCTGGTGGGAGAATCAGACAATCAAATAATTTTATAAATTTAGAGTTAGTTCCCTAAAGTGAATTGAAGGAAAAATCTGGCAGTTATGAGAACTTATAATAGAAGGTGCCGGGGACACTTCTGGAGGAAGTACAGGTTGATTTGAGATCTGCAGATGAAGAAAGTGATGAAGTCTGCCCTATGTCCCTCCCTGGACCTGCAGGGGCTCTGACGCCTGGAGGTCTTTGCACCTCCGCTCCTCTATACTCTGGGGGCCCCCTCCGCCAGGTGTAAGGTGCAGATTGTAATACTCAGGGATCGCCCTCCCTGCTTTCCCTTCGGGAGGTCGGGCAGACTGAAGATCAGAGTAACAGGTGTGCTTTGCAGAAAGGGGAAGTTGTATGATGCCCGAGAAGGCAGACTCGCAGCTGGAGACCCGGCCTGGGTGGGAGAGAGCTGGCACCCAGCATCCAAGCCCTTCCCGGCTACCCCTGCAGACTCAGCAGACGGGGACTTGCATGTTTCCTGCCTACCCCACATTTCCCAGGCTGATGTAAAATGAGCGAAACGAGGCCAAGGGGTGCTGGCTATGGACGGAGGGTGTGTTGTTTCTCCTCGAGGTCTCCGTGGTGCCAGGACAAGACATGGACTTTGATCTCCCTTCAGCAGTTGGCAGAAACCTCAGTTCTCACCGGAGGCCAGATCCACTTTTGAGGACTGATCCCTCAGCCCCACCACTGTCAGGAGCAGCTACTTCTGGAAGCTTCGCATCTAATTCAGGTTGGGAAAAGCATCTCGAATTCCTATTTCTGTCACCCACTCAATCCCTTCCATGGCCTTCCCTTTTCTTAACTTTGGAAGAGTTTCAATTACCTGGCATACAATAGTCACCTGGGTTTAATTTTTTTTTTTTTTTTTGAGAGGGACTCATTTTAGCTAAGCAATCGCCAACAATAGCTTGATTATACTCCTAAATTCTTTTGACACAAGCACTGTTTCTTCTCCAAAGCATGCTCTGACGCTATCGGAACATTATACTGGTTCCCTGCCCTAGCAGTTTTGCCGGATCTCACCCACTGAAGAAACCAACTGTAAATATTTGACATTCCTCGCACCTCTGGAAGTCCCCGCAGTCTGACCTTCTGGGGCTCTCCATTTCAGCTTTAAAGCCTCAAAGAAAAATGGAAAGAAAAGGCCGGAGTGTGTTCCAGGCCCTAAAGCTCTGCCTCTTTATAAATAGTCACCGCTTGAGGGATGCGTGTTAGTTCGGGTGTCGCTGTAGCTTAGGTTTCTAATAAAGCCTTTTGTGTGTGTTTGGTCAAATACAGACACGTAGAATTTACCATTTTCACCATGTTTAAGTGTACGATTCTGTGGTGTCGAGTACATTCACAGTGTCATGCAGCCTCCAGCACTGTCCATTTCCAGAACTTTGTCATCGTCCCAAACAGAAGCTCTGTACCCATTAAACAGTAATTCCCCATTCTCTGCTCCTCCGGCCCCTGGTAGGCACTCATCTATTCTCTGACTCTACGAATTTGACTCTTCTAAGCACCTCATATAAGTAGAATCAGATAATACTTGTCCTTTGGTGTCTGACTTCTTTCACTTAGCGTGATGTCTTCAAGGTTCATCCGTGTTGTGGCACATAAAGACTTTCATCCTTTTTTAGACCATTGTGTGTCTTTCTCCCACGTGTTGTTTATCCATTCATCTGTTGATGGACACTTGGGTTATTTCCATCTTTGGGCTAGTGTCTAATAAAGTTTAACGTAATACATGGGATTTGGCTCCTCTGTGACTTAAGACCAATGTAACAACTTCTTTTACTTCAGTTTATCCTCTAGAAACAGGATGTCAATCAGAGCAACTTCCCACACCAGGGCTCTGCAGGCAAAGCCAGGGCGAGGGACGGTGAAGGAGGAGTATCTGTGGTCACTGTGGACCTCGGCAGAGCTACACGGGAGGGTCTGGCTGGTCAGAGCTGGCACCCTGGTTGGGTGGGATTGCTCAACATGGGGTTTCTGCTTCTATAATACAAGAGAACTTTCATTCATTCATTCATTCAATTAGTTCAACCCATTCATTCTATTGCTCTCTCACTCATTCATTCCAATATTATTTAATACAGTCATGAGCTCAGACTGCCCTGAGCTTCCATCCACTAGAGGCAGAAAGACAAGCAAATCGACACTGACGAAGCCTAAAGGTTAAGGGTTTCAGGAGAAGAAGCATGGTGCGCTGTGGGAACCCAGAGGAGGCACCTCTCCTGTATTTGGGAGCCAGGAAAGGCTGTCTGGAGGAAGTTCGCACCTGTGCCAAGTCCCTGGGGAAGGGAAGAATTTAGCCAGTGGAGCAGAGGATGGAAAGGGTGAACCAGGCCCAGGAGGGGAACACGAGGGCCCAGAGATGAAAGGGAGGACCAGCAGTTGGCTTACATGTGTGTGACTTGTGTTTTGAGGTGGGGGTGCAGAGACTCATGGGAGGTGGGAGGTGAAGCCACAGGTGTGGGCAGGGACCATTTGGTGAGGGAACTCGGGTGGCGTTTAGGCTTCATCCTGGGGCAAAAGAGAAGTCGGATGGCTTTGAAGCAGGAGAAGAAGCATGCCCTGTTCTACCCTTGAGGGAGCCAACATCTACTGAGCCCTTTCCGAGGGCTGGGTGCTGCTTACCTCAGTTAACCCTCACAACAGCTGACCAGGGTGGGTGATGAGGTCCAGAGAGAAACTTCCCAAGGCCCCCAAACGGGCCTGGCAGGATGCTGATACAACCATCACTTCTGCTATTCAGGGTGGTCTGTGGAACAGAGACAATTGTATCTCCTGGGAGCTGGCTGGAAATGCAGAACCTTGGCCCTGTACCTTCTGGATCAAACCCTGTCTTTTAACAGGATCCGCAAGGGGTTCCTGAGCACGCTGAGGTCTGAGAAGCACTAGGGTGATTCCCAAGACTCAGTGCACGTTAGAATCTCCCGGACAGTGCTCCGGCTCTACTCCTGGATGAATTACATCAGAATTTCTGGGGCTGCCACTCAGGCATCAGGACTTTTCAGTGTTTCCCCAAATCCCTTGCATTCTGTGTCCCCCTTTCCAGGGAGGGCAGGCTGACTCCTGCAGGAAGGACCGGGCACCCAGCCACTGGAGACTCTGCAGCTTTAAGAACTGGAGCTGGCTGCCTGCCCAGGAGGCCACAGGAGGCCGCCCTGCCATTGCATGGGCCACGTGAGAACGGGCTGCGGGCTGCCACAGTCAGCGCTGGGGCTGGCCTGGGCTTGCAGACCTGAGCCCCGCGAACAGCCCCAGCGGCGGTGGCGCAGGCGAGCCGAAGAAAGGGGACCTTTATGCCTTTTGGGGGGAAGCACACATTCTGCGAGGCCATGGAAACAAAGAGAGGAACTGTTTCTAGCCCTAGTCCCAACATCTCAAACCAACAGTAAGTCAGGAGGGCACAGAACACAGCACAGCCCCTCCCGTGCCCCAGGACAACACACACCCCACCCCACCTGCAGCCGTGGAGCGTGGAGCTCTTTCTCCACGGGGGGCCTCTGGAAGTCAGGGCTCAGCTCCCGACAGGGACTACCTGACAACACCTCAGGTGTGGGTGGCGTTTCTCCACTCTGTCCCCGCTCTTGCAGGGGCCTTGCAGTCCACGCCACTGCCCCCAGAACGCTGAGGTCGTGTGAGAGCAGAGAAAGTAAAACAGAAACCTGTCGGTGTAACTGTTGGTCTTGGGGCCGCCAGCTTGCCTGGGAAGAGGCAACGAAGCTGAGGGCCGCAGCGGGGGTGGCCGAGGGAGCTGTGGCCTGCACCGGCAGTTGGCCTGCAAAGTTTCTCGGGCACCCGAGGGCCTTTTGAGGAGGGAAAGGTGGAGGGGAGGCAGCAACCAGATCATCACCTCCACCTTGCCTGGAGACAGAGAACTGTGAATCCCATTCCAGGCTCTCTCCAGGTCATGAGTGGGCTTGTCTCCGTCTCCATGGGGGACCACCACCAACTTAGCACATGCAGTGACTCGCTTGGGACCCATGTGTCACCAAACGCTAAAGGCAAAGCCTTGTGACTTTGGGGTGTCTCTTCTCTCATGTTATCTGTGCCTCCCTGCCCACCTCCTTCATTACGGACAGTTGAGAGCTAACTATAATCCGCCTTACTTCCTGAGACTGCGTGCAAAAATTATCATGTGTTGGGGGCGGGTAGCAGGTTGAGATTACGTTGGCAGAAAGGAGAGGTTGGCATTGATTGGCACGCAGAGGAGGGAAGCTACTGTGTGTCTTCAAGATCACTGGGTACATGCCAAAAGGAAGGGAAGGGGAGGTTTAAGAGTAGGGAGCAAAGAGAAAGCTGGCTTTACCAGCGGGTGGAGTGAAGATGAGGAAGAAGGAAGAGGAAGGTGGCCTGAGGTGAGGGGCAGGACAGGGTGGGGTTAGCAGAGAGAACGCTGAACTGTGGCTTGTCCAAAATGATGATGAAGCATCTGAAGGAGCCAGATATGACATCCGGCGGCAGGGCTAGATCCCAGAGATCAATTGCTGGCCCCTGAAGTGTTTTATTTATTTATTAATTTGAGCATCTTTGGAAAATGGGGAGATTTCACGTATGACTCTGAAAGGCCTGGACGCCAGGCTTACATGGCGGTCCCCACTCACACGCAAGCATTTTGCCTGCCCCACCCCACTCCGCAACCTCTGTACCTGCCCAGTTCCCATGGGCATTGCAACTTGCTGTTACTCCTGGTCTTGATGATAATGATTTTCTTCCATCGAGCCTTCTATTGAGTGTGTGTGTGTGAGCTGGTGTGTGTGCGCGTGCGCGTGCGCATGCCAGGCACACAGGTGTGCTCTCTTTCGATGAATTTCAATTAATCTCGCCCCTTTTCGGTTGAGGGTGACAGATGCACAAAACCAGACATACCCCTCTCCTTAACAGATTCCACAGCCTTTCCAGGCGATCTGCCAAATTGCTAGATGACATTTGCATTAAAAAAATTGAGTGCATTTTCCTATTTTGATTTTAAGTATTTCCCAGCCTGCGTTAAGGTGCTATTTCACGTATGCCACACTTAATAGCTTTGAAAGCATTTCTTAAACGTAGTGGATTCGTTTTCTCCTTCTAGCAGTTCTGTGAGATCGATAGTTTGGGTCCCCTTCCTGTGCTCTCTTGGAGAAAACAGGCAGCAGAGAAACCAAATGACTTGCCTTGGTCCTGCAGTAATTTTGAAGAAAAGTTAGTAAGAGTAAGCTGTGTCCTTTACACTGCATGGAACTGTAAAACATTCTGCTTTGAAAAGCATAGTGACTAAGGGTAGGATTTCCATCCAGAGTACTGGTTTGACCACTGGTTAGGCCACTCAGTAGCTGTGCATCTTCAGACAAAGAACTGAATCTCCCAGTGCCTCCTTCTGTAAAATGGGGATAACAGCCCTTATCTAGGGAGCATTGTGTGGATTAAATGAGAAAACATATGCAGAGTATCTAGAACAGTGCCTGTTACACTGTAAGGTTTTGATAAATATCACCATCAGTACTCAAACTACTAGTATCTGTACCTGTGGGAAACATTCTGTATGACTTAGGGCACAGGCTAAGTTGTAACAAAAAGACCCCAAAATACATTGGCTCCAGAAGGATAGAAGTGTATTTCTCTTTCACTCACTGGCCAGGAGGTAGATGGTCGGTGCAAGACAGGGAAACAATTCTGCTCCACAGGGTCATTCAGGAACCCAGGTTCCTTGAACTGTGTTCCTTCCCACCCCCTAGGGGCCTAGGGTATCCCCCTCTTCTGCATAGCTGTAGCTGCTCAAACACGTCCACCTTCTGCTCCTCCTACAGGCAAACAGCCCCCTTCTTGATGCTGTGACTCAGAAGCTGCTCAGGCCAATCTGCTCAGATCGCTCATTGACCAGAACTCGGGGAAACTGAGCTGCAGGTGAGTCTGGGAAATGTAGTCTGTAGCTGGGCCAACTAAATACACCCAACTAACACGCAGGAGTTCTCTTACTAAAAGGAAGAAAGGGAGGGCGGAAATTGGGAACAGGTCATGGTCGTGGGGCCATACCGTCCCAGATGTGCACCTTGGACCTGAATCTGGAGGGGTTAGTGCCTGCTCAGGCTGCTGGTTTCTCAGCCCATCTGAGCTCTACTTCTTATTGGATGCCTGATTTACTCTTGGATTTCTTCTTTAGCAAAATCCAGGGACAGCTCTGGGCTCCATGTTTCAGATAAACACCTCTGGTGGTGGCATGGTTATCTCCTGTGGGCTCGCCAGACTGACTATCCACTGGGTTGGGCAGCCTGTCCCCTTATCACCCACACCTCCTAGCAAGGGTGGCATTGGCTCTGTTTGTTTTCTTCTGGATCTTTTGACAACTTCCCCAACCTGCAATGTAAATTCCATCCTCCAGAGGTTGTCTCCAGAGAGTGTGATCTTGAGTCCGGGGTGGCTGATTAAGGAAACGTCCCTGCTCCTTCCATTCTCCTGGAGTCCATCCTTGCATGTGTTGAAGAGGGAACCTTCTCCCCACCTCATCAAAGATCACCTATGAGCCCACAGGCGTGTAATAAAGAAATCAAGCCACATATTTGGTGAGTGATTTCTCCGCCATGTGGTCCTGCAGCTCTGCGGTCTTAGAGTTCAACCTCCATGGTGGATTTCTGAAAGCACTAAGTTAAATAACAACTGGCTCAATGAAAGGAAGTGTAGATCAACATTCCATTCTTATCATTGCAAGTAACTAAGGTTGGATGGGCCACAAAAGGGAATACCAATTGTCTGGGGGAGCTTACTCCCGGGACAGAGAAGGTACTTTGATGTATACTGCCTAACAGATGAAGAGGGAAATATGGATTTGTTGGGGGCCTGCCATGTGCCAAGCACCTGCTCAAGGCAGAAGTCAGAGCCCTGAGTAAGAAAACAGGCACCTGATGGAGTCTATAGCCTAGCAGGGGTGCTCTGCATTAACCATCTCATTTAATCCTTGTACAATGCACAAAGCATGTATATTTCATATTTTGTGGACCAAAAATGTGAGCTCAGAGAAGGAAATGGTAGGGACGGTTTTAACCCCATGTCTGCCTGATTCTAAAATTCCTGCTCTTTCCATTTTTATTTCATCTGCCTCCAGACACTGTCTTTGTTGAAGAGGGACTCTAGCCTATACACAGACGTGACCTGGCCCCTTGTGCTAAACACGTGAACCAGTGACAGCTCTTAACTGAGGGCTTGGCTTCACTTGACTGTGGTGGTTGGGTTTTCGCTCTAACCCACATCTCTCTCTCTCTCATCCCTGTTGCCCGCTTATCCTTCTGTGTGCACCCATCCCTGCTCCTTCCTGGGGCTCTGATTGCTGGAGGAGGATTGTCCACCACATCATCTGGACCATTAGAGTCCTGGGTTCCCAAGGCTGCCAGGAAACCTTTCCAAGTGTTCCTAGACCCTCCCCTGTCCCATTTGGTCATTGGTGTCTCCTCCTGACTATTCCTCTTCCATCAACCCCTGTTTGAACCTCCATTTCATTGTCTGTCATTATCATGATGGAGGATCCATCCTGTCCACTGATAAAACTGAACAAAATTTAGGGCTGAAGAAATTCTTAAAGTCCTCCCTGGCCGTGCCCCAGTGTGTCTCCTACTCTGCTTCTCCACTCCTCCCATACCAGGGAAGAGGTGTGCTCCTGCCCATGGCTGATGTTCTCTGTGTGCTGCAGACTCCCTCCCACCTCCCCTGGAGGCCCCCTTCAGTCACTGTGTTCTCTTGCTCACATCGTCAGCCTCTTGTCTACTGACATTCTCATCAGTCTCTCCAGTCTGAACAGTACTCTCTTCTTGATCCCATATTTCTGTCTAACTTCTCCCTTTAGTTTCCCTTTCTCTCTCCCTTCACAGCCAAGCTTCTTGAAAGAATTGTCTACCCTGGCTGTCGACACTGCCCACCTGCACATTCAGTCCTCCATCACCCATTGTGATCTGGTGTATGTTCCCATGATCAAATGCCCAGACTGATGTCATAAAAGACAGCCATTCTCCAGGTCCAGCTGGTGTTTTTCTTCCCTGAGGTGACTCTATCTTTCTAGAATGTTGGTACTATTGCACACCCCCACATTTTGAGCCCCTCTCTCTAGGTGAGAGGTACCTAACTAGCAGGTGTCTCTGCTCTCTAGGTTTCCACTTTACTTTGCTGGACATTGTTTTCCATCTCCTTATGGTCTCCTTATGGAGACCTCCTTTCCCACTCATTCCCTGAATGTCCCCTGGGCCTCTGTGTCTCACCCACTGCTCTTCTCGCCCTCTCCCTTGGTGTCCTTGGTGTCCTCCCCACTCTCCCTCCTGACATCTGGTCCTGAATGTCCCATTTCTCATGGACAGCTGCTGTGGCTGTCCCCAGGCTCCTCCCACTTAGCATTCTAAAGCCAGACTCCTTATCAGGCTCTTCCAAGACTTACCCACCTTCTAATGTCCCTTATTTTCAGGAATGGTACCACTACCCCAGCTGCCCATGCCAGAACAAAGGAATCTAGTCATTATCTTGGAATCCCACTTCTCATTGCATCTTTTGCTTTCAATCAGGTATCATATTCCGGTGAATCTAGCTCTTCCAACTCCTGTAATCCCCCCTTCCCCCTCATTTCCCTACCGTTGGGGAAAGCCTTTATTGCTTCTCACCCAGCTGTGGCAAAGGACCCTTGAGGGACTGCCTCTACTTCTGTCCTCCATTGGAGTACCGCCATAGGTATTCCTCTAATGCCGTTGGCTCAGGGCATCCTCCTGATCTTCAGTGCTCCCAAAGATCTCCGATAAAGTTCATGTGCCTTTAGTTAATCACATGACCCTTCCTGAGTAATTCCTTGCCTACCTTTCCAGCCCCTCTCCATCTTGACTCCAAGTGTGCCCACCACTCAGCGGGCTGCGGGTTCATGCCTCGGGACATGCCTTTACCAGCAGGGCCTTCTTCTACCTCCCTCCTGGGGCTGATTTCCGGTTGTCTGTCAAAACTCAGCTCAGGCAGCATCACGTAGACCATGACTGCCTGGCACTGCTCTCCCAATTTCACTCACCAATTTCCCCATCAGCAGCTCCAGGGCTGAAGCACGTTGTGGGCACATAGAAAGTGCTCTACAGAAGGTAAAGGAATGGACTATTGTTTCAGAAACTTCTCTCACTCAGGAAGCCTGAGGCATCAGGTTAAGGTCCATTGTAAAACTCTCCAGGGTGTATTGGGGTTTTTTTTTAAATGGAAGCACGGTTTGGCCTTGACAATCAGACATTTAGAAGCTGCACAGCCAGTCAGCTGAGGGCCGAGCTAATTCACCCCCAAGGAGCTAAGCAAAAGGAAGAAGCACTGCTGTCCCCCCTCCCCTCTCCGTCTTTCCTCTGGGCTGTCAGAATACATGGTATTTTTGCATTTGCCCTGGGGTTCTTTATTCTCTGGGGTTTCTGAATTCCTTCAATTATGGCATTCGGCCTAGGGGGCTGACAGTTCAGCGGGATTCAAGGCTTCGGGTAGGAAACAGGGTCTCTGTGGGGGTAGCTGCTTGTGAATTCGTGGTGGATTGGACTTTCTGTGAGCAGTGACTTCCCCCAGCCAGGAGCACGGAAGGCTCGGAGAAAGCCTCGGTGGAAGGTGATGCTGCCCAGGCCAGGGAAAGCCTGTGCTCCTGAAACCACTGTTGGCGTCTCGCTCGGATTTTGTGGTTCAGTAGAAGCAAATCCTCATGTTTTACAGACGCTTTCATTGTTATGATGCGATTTTACCTCCGTACTTGAACTTTACTTGCCGTCAAATCTGTTCTCTGGAATGGCCGGGATTCTGTCTGTGAATCACCCCAGCACTTCAGGTAAGGCACTGGCTGGCTGTCCAGCTGTGTGGACCAGGACCGGTCCAACGGCCCAGACCATGAGAGCCAGAGAGGCCAGGAGCCTCGTCCCTGTCACCAGAGGAGACCTCTACTTCTGCTGCTCCCCCCCAAGTCTGGGCTCCCCGTGGCTGAGGAGATTGGCTGGGATCAGATACATCACAGAATGTGCAGATCAGGACCCAGGGTTTGCAAGTGACCGTCCCAACTTATGACTTATGCAAGAAAGATGAATTTACTGGCTGAAAAGGCCCAGAGGGAGATCTGTATTTAGCTATGCTTGTTTGTAGGGTCAGGGACAGCATCATCAAACCATGCCTCTCCCTTCATACCCCTTGGCTCTGCTTCCTTCTCAGCTGCCTCCTTTCTCGGGCCAGCCCTTTCTATGGAGGGACAGAAATTGTCCTTGCATCTAGTGATTTCAGGGCAAGAAACTCTTCTTTCCCAACAGCTACACAAATTCAAAAGGTAACGTCGATTGCCTATTCTGGGTCGTGTGACTATCTGAGTCTGTTTGGGCTGCTAAAACAAAAATACCCCAGACGGGGGGCTTAAACAACACACATTTATTTCTCACAGTTCTGAAGGCTGGGAAGTTCAAGATCAAGGTGTGGGCAGATTTGGTGTCTGGGTAGAGCCCACTTCCTGGCTGACCTCACAAGGCAGAAGGGGAAAGGAAGCTCTGTGGGGTCTCTTCTATAAAAGCACTAATCCCATTCATGAGGGCTCTACCCTCATGATGATGTCATCACCTCCCAGAGGCCCATCTTCTGATACCATCACACTGGGGGCTAGGATTCCAATATATGAATTTTGGGGACAGATAAATAGTCCATTGCAGTGACCATCCCCAAACCAACCAACGTGATCTTGGGGGATGGGGTATTTTGATTGGTCACCTGGGTCTGAGAGAGAGATTGACAGCCCCACCAGGGAAGGGACAGTCAAAATGTCTGGGCATGTATGAGTTTCTCAGGGCTGCCACAATAAATTACCACAATTTGGTGGCTAAAAACAACAGAAATGTATTATTTCACAGTTCGGGAGGGCAGACGTTTGAAAGCAAGGTGTCAGCAGGGCCGCATTCCCTGCCAAGACTCTAGGGAATAAATCCTTCCTTGCCTCATCCAGCTTCTCTGGCCCCAGGCAGTCCTCCGCGTTGCCGGTTTACAACTGTTTGATCCCAGTCTCTGCCTCCACCGTCCTATGGTGGCTCCTTCTGTGTTTCTCTTGTTCTGTGTCTCGTCCTCCTATAAAGACACTCATCATTAAATTCAGGATCCACTTGATTAATCCATAATGATCTCATCTTGAGATCTTTCACTTAATTACATCTGCAAAGACCCTTTTCCCGAATAAGTTCATATTCACAGGTGCTGGGAGTTAGGACTTAGATGTATCTTTTGGGGGGGGGGGCATAATTAAACTAATTACAGGGCAGAAAGAAAGTAATAGATAGCCACTACACTCTACCCCTTGACTGCCTAGCATATAAACAATTTCAGAAATGCACCACCACACAAACACTTTTTCCCCATACAAACAATTTCAGAAATGCACCACCCCAGCGTGGTAAAGGCTACCCACACGTAAGCAAAGCTGGTGGCTGCGCATTCTTCTTGGTCGGGTCTGGATGTTACTCTTAAGAATCTGTCACTGACAGCTAAGTGATCAAGTTCAACACCCCAGCATTTAATGGTGGAGGAAACAAAATAAGACAGTTGGAAGAA